CCCCCCCCCGCGACAGATTTTTTTCCTGGTGCTGTGGTTTTTTTTGGCGGGGTGTGTGTGTGTGGGGGGGGGAGGTAGTTTTTGTTCAAACATCTGGCAGCCCTACATGCAGGATCTGGGAAGGGTATGGGCTCCGGAGGGGCAGGCAGAGGATTTGAGTTATATGGGGTAGGAGGGTTGAAGGGAAACAGGCAACTTCCATTAGCCAGAACCGGCCAATGGGATTGTGCTGGAGGCGGGAGCAGACATGAGGCACCACTCCCCCCCTCTGCTGCCAGCTCACAGTGTGTGGAAAACAAAGGGTCCCTCAGAGGCTTTTCTGCATGGCATGCGGGGACGGGGCAAGAAGGGGAGGCAGCATGGGGGCTCCCTGCTACCTCCACCGACCCAATTCAGCCAGTGGAGGGTGTTTTGCCCAGGCTTGCTGTAGCACCAGCTGCCTGCTGCAGGGAGAGCAGGAGGGGGAGGCTGGGCTTGAGCTTCAAAAGAGCCATGTCTGGCTCCCTCATGAGCCATATTTGGTTGGCGAGCCATAGGTTGCCAACCCCTGTACTAAGCACTTCATACAACAGATATATTCAAAGAAAGCCTCTCACTCTCCATAAATGGCCATTTTAGATTTGTTTGTTTTTTTATCTTCTGATACTAATGCCTTTATAGCAACTTTTTACTTACTTACATAATCACTGGCTAAGACGTTGTAGGTTGTCAGTACTACATCTTGTTTTGAAAGAAATACTGGGTCTTTGCTGCGGTCAGGACCATAATAAACATATATATTCAAGCAAACATCTGGCCTGATATGTTGTTCAAACTGATCCTAGAAGGAAATTCATTAGAGAAACTGCAATTAATCAAATGTTGCCACAAAACTACATTCCTGAAGGATGATTTAGAGGAACAACTGCAGTTCCACCTCTGTGAGATATTGTAACTACCAATAGTACAGATAGGACATATAAAAAAAGTCATTTGTATGAGGGTAAGAGAAGTAGAGGGAACTGCAGCAGACAAATCAGTAACAGCAAAAACAGTGCCAAAAACAAAGAAAAGCTGCATGGGAACTCTCAAATAATTGTACTGCTATGGAATTGTGGGGAAGAGGAAAAAAGAGGAGAAATTTTTACGCAGATGTAAAATAAAGCTGGAATGGCATTTCTGAACAAAATTTCTCACGTTACTAACACACTTTATTAAAAAGAAAAGTAGCTCTATAAAATCTTTCAATCATTAGTGTTTAATTTTTGCAACTGTTTCAAATAGCTATTCACTCATCACTTTCATTTTTTTTCTAATGTGTTTCATCTTTGTTCTTCCCCAGCACTAGTACCATGGTGTGGAATTTGAGCTATTGGCAAAAAGGAGGAAATGAAGTCTTGAGAGAATGATTTTGATCAAAAGTAGCACTGTTCTAGGACACAAATATAATGTATGAGGAAGTAAATTTAACTGCCTGATTTAGAGTTCTCCATGCAAAGCTTCATTATTGGATTTTCTGCAAGTTTCTCCATTACTAAGTATTAGGCAGCATTTTTCTGGCAACTCTATTTCAGCAATTTCATGAATCACCAGAATCTAAAGAAGGAATTTTAACTAGAGCTAGGCAAAAAAATTTCAGAATAGTTTATTTCCCATCAAAAATTGCCATTTCAGTATATTCAGAGTTATTTGCAAATTTGTCAGATTTTCAAACAGCTAAATGAAAATAGTTTCAGATGCCAAGTTCTCAGTTCAATTTTGTAGCTATCATCTCTTTTCCATTTTAATTCTTTTAGTTGTAAAATCCGTTGGCATAAAGATTATAAAGAAACATATGATTTTTTTAAAGCTGTGTGTCCCTTTAAAATGTTTACAATGAACTCCTCTCCTGCAATAGCAAAGGAAAGTGAAATTGTGAGCCCCAGTGGAAATCATTTGTTCAATAATGACTCCCTCATATAGATTGTAAGGTGACTAATATTTGTTGCTTTTTAAAAGACATGAAATAAATCACATGCACCAGTGAAGAAAAGCCATTTAGTCTCATTGCATTAATACTTCAATTTGTTCTGTTACCAAAAATTACCTGTTTTTCAAATAACTACTTTATTTCTGAATTAAGGAGAAGCAGTAATTTTTAGTCACATGACATGTTACAGGAGCAATGTAATTTATACTACCAAAATTATGCATCACAACATATTAAAGAATGAACATGATAATGTAAAACCTACAATCCAGTTGCTCAGGACAGAGAGTGGACATATGATCAGTGTTGTTCTGGAGCCATCTTCACAATCATTTTTCTTAACAGACTGTATACTTGTAGTACCTGAGAAAATAGAAGTGACACTTTCCCAGAATTGTCATTTAACTTAATTATTTTATGTTGAAATATTATAAAAATATAAATCTAAAAAAACTGAACAGTTCCTTGTATTCCTTTTGTAGGTCCCCATCAAATAATAGAACTTCTCAGGATAAGCAACATTTGTATATCATTTCAGTATGAAAATAAACAATAATTCATAAGGCTTATGTTTATTTCATTACCTTTTTTCTTTGCTTTCTTTTTTAATGGAGTAGATGGAGCTGCAAGAGCAGATGCAAAGCCTGTATCTTCTTGAATAATGCAAGAAGCTGCTGCCAAAAGACAACATCCGAATACAAGACATTTTTAAAATGTGTGCATGGGTGGGTATATTTTTTAATACAGATGTCACACTAAGTGAAACCTGTTAACCAAATGTTTTTCTCACTGTTTTACAGGTGGCTACAGATTACAGTGTAACTAACATGAAGTGAATCTCAAACAGATAGAATCTATTAGCCATTAGGACAAACGATTTAGCCCAAAATTCCATTCCAGGAGCACACACATGTATCAAGTACTTTGGACTTGTTTACACAAACAGCTAGTTAACATTAAGCTGGGGTGTAAACCAATGTTCCCTCTAAGTTTTCCACGTGCAGAATAAACGGTGTTATGTGTACTAAGGCATGTATGGATGTGCACCACGAGTAGAAGCACATGCTGCCAGCTGTGAGCTCTCTGCTAATCAGCTGAGCGGCATTTGAATCTCTTCTAAGTGGCCACCCCAGTGCTCAGCTTACAAGGAACACTGGTTTAAACCTACCCTCTGCTAGTCTGCCATTCACTAAATGCCCACATGGTCCTGCTGCTGCACCCTATAAGTTCCTTAGAATGCTTCAAAGCTTCAACTTGAAGTCTTGTTTCAAAGCAGCATAAATCAAAGCGCACTAGGGAACTTTTAATGCACTCCAGCTGTGTCCTCGCAGACACTTACTGCAAGCAAGGTAGCGCTGGGTAGATTTACATTCCAGCTTGTTACAAACTGTTTGTGGTAAACAAACTCTCATTGCAGAGTATCTAGTGTTTTATAGATTTTCTTCCATCTAAGATGTTTAGTCTGACAGATAACATATCTTCTCGTACATTTAGATTATCATCAAAGCATTTTCATTTGTAATACAGCTTTGCCTTTCAAATATACTTTTTCCATTTCAGTGCCTACGCACCACCACATCCTTGTCAGAATCTAAAGCATTTCATGTTTCTTCACTATACCTTCCACCACTGAGGAAAGGATTCTTCAAAAATTGTCACATTATTATTTATTTCTTCAGCCAGAAAAGCTGTTAAGAAACATAACCCCAGGAAAGGAGTATCATCACTAGATTAGCTCAAGAGTCAAAGAGTTCAAGGTTCTATTTTCTAGATAAATTTACTCTGACAGATGGTATTGGTCAAACCAAGGTCTATGCTCACTGCATTAACATAAGTCTGCAGGAGTTTTACTGAAATATCATTTGTAATATAGATTATTTTCTTTATAAGAAGTTGGTCTGAAGTATATACTAGTGTACCATTTCTGCTTGTATTTCTCATACAGTAAAAACACTCATACTCCAAAGGAAAAAAAATCCCATACGTTTACTTCTCTTTCTGGTTGTTGGGACCTCTCTCACACATTTATCTGAAACAAACAAACAAAAAAATTAGAACAACTGATTTTTAAAATCTGAATGAAGTTAAATAATTGGGTTAAAACAGAAGGAAGTACAGCTTACTCGTTTGTTGTGGCAGCCACTCTTCAGATTCTTCTGAGTCACTGATTAATATATAGTTGGTTTTTTCAGATTTATCTCTAAAATATTAAAATGAAAAACCCTCACAATCAGTACTAAAACTTGAAGAGCATGTTTTAGCCACAGAGATTGACATACAACAGATATGGCCAATGCACTCTGAAAAGCTTCTCAGAGAGTGAAGTGGGAGGGGACAAAACAAAACACACTCTATTCATTGTTGCACTTCAACACGCAAAAATTCTATAGACAGATTATTTTCTCAAACATAAAAAACCCACACAGAAATCGTTACATTAACCAATAAAAAGAACAAGCTGTGCCATGATGAAATGGCATGAACAAATATTAATGTTTTAAACTCATATGAAGCCAAAAGTTGTCCCTTGAATATACCTGAAACACTGACAAAAATAATGGAATTTAGCAGGACATCAGAATTTTATGTCAAGGTTTTTAAATCAAACAAGGTTTTTAAATCAAACAGAGTTTCTGATTATTTTAATTCTGAAGTAGATAGCTGGCACTTATGCTATTGCTCAGTCTCAATTTGTGGTCTTTGATACTTCTCATCTTATAATACATGCTATAGCAGATTTCTGACAACTGTAGACTACAGCTTTGAGGGAAAAGGGACTATTGTTGCTATGGACACGGACAAATGGAGCATTATTTTTTAAAAAAATCAAGAAGGGGTATCAAAACAGCATTATTACAAGAATGGATTAGTTATCACCTTTAATAATATTATTAGAGCTCTGTATCCAGGTACCCGTGGAACTGCTGGGCTTTCCCAGAGATCAAAGCATCGAAAGGAACAGAACATGGAGCTGCCACTCCCAGAAGCCAGCACTCCCTACATTGCTGTATCACCGCCAATCCTTCTATGCAGCAGTATGTTTTACTTGTCCAGTGACATGGTACTGAGACCCTGGTGCCCATGCCACTGGAAGGGGCTCTTGCAGTACAGCAGCATAAGAACTGCTGTTGGTACATGATGCTGTCTCCTGGGAGTGTTAGCTCCACATTCTGCTCTTTTCGCTGCTGTAGCTCCTAGAAGAGCCCTGCAGTTCTGCAGATACCAATTTACATCTGCAGATATCTGTATCTGTGGGTATAAGTCTGCATCCATGCAGTGCTCTATTACATAGGGACAAGAGAGATAAAAACAATTAGAATGTAGGTAACAGTCATAATAGGCAAAGAAGAGGATGCCAAACACTTAGCACCTGGATAAGATCATCCTTACTCCAATCCAAATTATGTAAAAACCCAGGAAAAGACTATCTTCTAAGTTTCTTGCTAATCACTTATTCAAATGTCATGTATCAAACCAGCAAAGAGAAAAAGTGTGTTTCAGGATCTTACCCTTTTAGCTGGGAACTACAACATTGTGACTGAACAATTTCACTCTTCTCATTAGAAATGCTAGGCTCCACATTACAGCTGGTCCCTTCAGAAAAAAAGTGATGAAAAACAAAATACAGGTTTTTTGCCTGAAAGACAAGCTACCTAAGAGCTATTTGATGCATAAAAGTAGTACAAGATTTAGATAATAATGTTCTAAATTCCTCAACATGCAATCAGCAAAACTAGCATTTTGAGTCAAGACAGTAAATGTAAAATAAAAATATATGAAGATGTTCCTAATATATTTCTAGATATCTAAATGCCGAGACATAAAACAACCACTCTGCACCTTGATCAGCTAAATTTGAATACAAAGTTGAAAAAAAAAGTTAACAGCCTGTATGATAGCGTACACAATTGCACTCACACCTTAGTACACTAATCTTTGTACAAAGCATGCCTTTGAAAAATATCATTACAAAACTTTTGACCTGATAAAATATATTGTGCAACATTTGAATGTAAAGTTATATATGTTTAACTAATTAACCGGTTAACTAATAAGCGACATTTGAACGTAAAGTTATATATGTTAAGAGTTTAACTAATTAACCGGTTAACTAATAAGCCAGGGTTATTGGTTAAACTCTGCCTTTCTCCTGCAGAGGTAGCTTTGCTGCAGCAGCGAACCTTCTCCCTGGAAACGGGACCAGCAGAGGCTGGCAGGCTCCACTCCCAGGGAGGCTTCACTGCAGGCTCTGCAGTATGAAGCTTAAATAAGCTTCATACTGCAGATCCCGCAGCAAGTGTAACCACTAAGATTTTTAGAGGTTAAACGGTTACTTTATTAAATTACTTCTAACGTTCCTACTGTGCAAAACTTACATTCCACCAAAGTGGTCAGAGGCCTAACTACTGGCCTAATGGAGATTATGTTTGCCTTAGTTTGCATTCAGAGTCATCAAAGAAAGCTCAAACAGATGGGGAAAAAACAGTAAGAAACATCCTGCCATACAGACTCTCTCTTTCCTAGATCCCAGCTGGAAAAGTTTTTAGGGGGAATCCGAAAGTTTTTCAGGGAGTGAGAATTTGAAAATTATAAAAAGAAGGGGCAAACACCCCAAGTCCCTCTCTGTCTACCTATGGTATTGCACCTCAGACGACAAAGGAAAGACCGCCATTGGGCAAACACCCCAAGTCCCCCTCTGTCTACCTATGGTATTCCTCAGACGACAAAGGAAAGACCGCCATTGAAATCTGGGGGGCACCGGTTTCTGAAGAGTGTGGTCAAGAACAGCGTTCCCTCTAATTTTTTATATGTATGTGCAGAATGAATTTTGTTATGTGCACCAATATGGCAGTGACATCTCACATCCATACTGGTGCACATAAAATGTATTCCACACAGATGGCATGTGACAGTAGCCAAAGGAGGGTGGACAGGGATGAGATGTTTGGGGTGCAAGCTGCCCAGGGAGAGAGGACTACCCCTAGCCCTCTCTCACTGCAGCAGCTTGGAGCCAGGTAAGAGATGCCAGGACAGGGATCTCTCCTGTTTATGGGCAGGTCTGGAACAGCACAGCCACACAGCTAAGAGGGAATGTAGGTTAGTAACTTTACTGGACACGTGTATTGAGAATTTTGCTTTAATTTAATATAGTTTGTTAAGTTAAAACACTTACTAGTGCTAGGAATGTAAAAGGGCAACAGGTTACTCAGTGAGCATTGCCTTACCGGCATGCTTACCGGGGTAACCAGTTAACCAGCGCCCAACCTAGTCAGAGGAAACCCTGTCTGCAGCACACTATGGATGGAAGAGCTGCTCTAGTACAGTTGGGCCCACTGAACTGCAGTCAGGGAACTGCTCCAACCCGGCCAGGCCCCCTGCACAAAACATCTTAATTTGGGATTTTACATCCCTAATTTTGCCTTACCGGCATGCTTACCGGGGTAACCAGTTAACCAGCGCCCAACCTAGTCAGAGGAAACCCTGTCTGCAGCACACTATGGATGGAAGAGCTGCTCTAGTACAGTTGGGCCCACTGAACTGCAGTCAGGGAACTGCTCCAACCCGGCCAGGCCCCCTGCACAAAACATCTTAATTTGGGATTTTACATCCCTAATTAGGTTGGTGTTTCAATTACCAAACAATTGGTGGTCAATTACTTATGCTCACTTAAAATCTCTTTGTAGTTAATAAACTGGTTTTATTGCTTTATCTAACCCAGTGTGTTGAAGCTGAAGTATGTAACTATTTAAGATAAAAAAAAAAACCAGCCTATTTTTCCCTTAAAGCTAACCCAGTGTGTCGAAGCTGAAGTGTGTGGGTAACTATTTAAGATAAAAAAAAAACCAGCCTATTTTTCCCTTAAAGGATGAACAGACTTAATATGTTTATGCTGTGTAGTACAGAATATAAGTTTCTGGTGGGAAATCTGGGACTGGGAATGTGTTGAGTTCCTTGTGCGATATAACCAATGAGAGCCAATGGATAACTGTCAGGCTACAGTTACACACAGACACTCCCCTAAGGCAGGGATTTTCAAAGCTGGGTTGCAAGCCTGCGCAGATAAGCTGCTGGCAGGCCGCAAGATACTTTGTTTATCCTGCAGCTCCCCTTAGATGGAAACAGTGAAAAATGTCAGCAGTTACACATTTACCCTCTGGGGGAAGGAAGGGAGTAGGGACCAGAGCACATGGGAATGCAGAGGCAATGGGGAAGGCCTGCACGTGACTACACAATGAATCCAGGCTCCTGGGTTTACCATGTAAACCAGTGTTTCCCAATTTTATTTGGCCACCGAACCCTTTTAAACTCGAAAGAATTTCATGCAACCAATAGTCATATATATATAGAGCTGAAAAAGTAGACCACAAATAAGTAAGATAATAATAAACAAATGCTAAACAAGGTCATGAGATCAACATCATCTTGTGTAGAAAAAAACCCACTGGCTTTTCTGTTATACTTAACGGATTTTGAATCCAGTAGTTGTTATTTATGGTTGGAAAATACATCATGATGCTTGTGTACAAATCACAAAGATTATCTGCAATGTTGCTGCGAATATATTCATCTAGTTCACATTTGTTTTCTTCAAGGAAATCATTCAAGGTTGGGAAACAATCCAAATTATTTTGTCCCATGAGATCCGAATTGTAGCTTTCATGACAATGACAAAATTATATCTTTCGCATTAAAAATATTTACATTCTTTCCTTGTGACACATTTACTTCATTTAGTTTTGTAAAGATGTCCACAAGGTACGCAACTTTCGATAACCACAAAAAGTTTGTTAAATGATCAGACAGTCGGATATAGAAAATATGCAGAGAGCTCATGATGCAACCCAAATAATCTAACAAGCACTTTGCCTCATGATCACCACCTGATTTCTGTATGTAGAAGCAGGGCTGTGTGCTAACTACCCATATCTTCACACATAATTTTGAACAGTCTTGATTGTAATGGTCGAGTTTTTAATATAATTATTAATCTGCACTGCTTTGTCCAACACTTTTTTAAGAGAGGGAGAAATATTCTTAACTACCATGCATGTATGAGGAGAACACAGTGACTGCTGGTGCAGTCTGGTGCTACATTTTTTATTCGTGTTACAGCACCAGCCACTGTTCCTACCATTGCTTTGGCACCATCATTACATACCTCAACACATTTTTCCCAGCTTATTTCATGTGTTTTCATAAAGTTATTGATACAATTGAATATATTCTTACCAGTCATATTGGTTTGCAAAAATTTGCATAATAGCAAGTCTTCTTCAACAGATTTATCAAAATCATAACGGACAAATACAAACAAAACTGCAAGACCTGAAGCGTCAGTGGACTCGTCTAATTGTAATGTATATGCATCATATAAATGCAGCCAAAAATAAGCTCTTTCTCAATGTCAGCAGCAAGATCATGAATACGACGTGTGACAGTATTGTTTGATAGCAACACAGCCTCAACTATGACAAGACTCCTCATCCAACATACACATTACAATATCTTTTGCGCGTGGTTTTATCAGTGATTCCCCAACTGTGTGCTTCTCCATCGAGCGATATACGATAGCTAACTTTGTAAGATGACTGTTGCATTTTCATTATCTGTTTTAGCAATTTTTGACACAAAGAGTTTGCTTTTTTCAAGTGATTCAAGCTTCCATTTAAAAAAAACTAATGTCTTTATCTTTGTATTCCGAGTGATTTGTTTCAAAATGTCTTCGTAATTTAGCAGGTACTAAAGAACCATTAGATAATATTTTGTTGCATAGTGCACAATGGGCATCTGGAGCATCTTTATTTCCATTGCTTGTGAATCCAAATGACAAACAGTCCTTGGCATACTTACGTTTCTTATTACTTGGCTGTAATTCTTCATAATTAACTTGAACTGCCTTGGTATCTCTTCCTTGCTGGTTTCAGTAACAACAGGAGTGAATTACTTGCTTTTTTCTTTAAAGTCTCTTCTTTAAAGTTTCTCCTTTTCGCCAATTATCCATGGGGAATTTTGGTCTCAATAATTTAAATTCTATGTGTAGATACTATTAAATAGTTGTATTGTTAAAGTCACCCAAGTGATCCATGCTCCTGGACAGTGAGCACGGGGATTTCTGGTGTTATACAATACACAATTGCACCACTGACTGACTGCACGTGCAGCAATGAGTAATATTTTCTTGCGAAACCCTTTTTTTCACTTTGCAGAACCCAAGGGTTCTGCAGAACACCATTTGGGAAACACTGGTGTAAACAGTTACATTTTCACATCCCCATTGTTATCATCATATGAATATCTTTGTTGGGACTGTCCTTGCTATGTCAGGATAGAACACTTTCAAGATAAGGGTTCTTCTAACTGAAGACTTGATTAATTAGGGATATCTGAGTTTTGGGGTTACCTAAAGCTAGCTAAAGTCAACAGGATCAGAGATATGATCCTGAGACTTGCAAAATCTCCAATCCAAGGCAGGGTTATCCTGAAGCTACAGGACTCTGAGTCCTATCCAGGACTTTCTCAGTCTCAGAGCTTCTAGTATTATTGCCAAAGATATTTCCCATGGCTTCCCAGCTCTTGACTGCAGACAAGGGAACCTAGGCTTAGAACCCTGGCTCAAGTTCTATTTTTCACAGCTTTCAGATTCTGTGCTATGGAGCCCAGCCCCAAGCTTCAGTTAAAAGTCAGGCCTTCCAGACCTGCCAAGCTCTTAGCTATATAGGAGCCTGGAAACCCTGGCATAGCAGAGCTGCCCCAGGGCAAGCCCCCTCAAGCAGTCTGTCAGGCAAGTATTCAGGTTCCACTGGGCTCTGCCAGTACCGGAATCATTTTTGTGAGCAATTTCAAGTTTGATGAACTAGTATTTTCCAGTCTGATTACAAAATTTCCAACTAACTATAATTGCATATCATTAGTCTAAATAACAGTAGTGTTATTTACTACTGAGATAGCAGATCTAGAGCTAGAATATCATATTAATAATTCAAGTACTTTGTACAAATATGTCCTTTCACATGTTTATTGTTACCTTCCAAAAGTTCATGTCCTTCATTTTTCACACCAGTGACACCAAATTCCTAAGAAAAAAATTACATTTTGTAATATAGTAAATATTACTGTAATAGGATAGTTACTAATTTAATCTGTCCAGATAATTTTTTGCATACAAAAAAAAAGAAGATTGATTTGGGGGGTAATACATGTATATTAATCAAAAACTTAAGATATAAATTTAACAAATAATTTTAAAAAACCAAACAGATACATTAAAAAGGCAAAATGAGAACTTCAAATTACACAAGTATATTGGAAGGAAAATGAAACACTAAGCTTTTCAGACTATACTGAGCCCAGACAAAAAGCACTGCCAGGTAATTTTGAAGCAATCATGTACAAAATACAATAAAATAATCAGTCAATGCTATTCCACAGCACAGCTAATTAAACTTATAGGAATGGCAGTGAGTGCAGCAAAATAGACAGGTGAATAAGATGGTCCAAGAGGACCTTTCCAACCCTCAGTGACCCTCCTTTAAAAAAAAAAAAAAAAAAAAAAAAAAAAGCCACACACACACCCCACTATTTCGTAAGCAGGTATTCCAAAAATTAAATCTGAAGTGCCCCCCTCACCCTGCAACATTCAGACCCTTGGCTTCATATTTTTAGGGAACTATGTAAATAAGTCTTTGGAGGAAAAAACTCTCATTTGTGTTTTCATAACAAAAGGTCATTTTTAAAAATAGACCTTTGTATTTGATTTTATATGAATAAACCCAATAGAACCTGAACAAAGTACATTTTCATGATCTCTGAATTAACTCTTCCCTGGAGTACACTGTTTTAAGTTCAAACACAGACCATTTTGTTTCAGAGAGAGATGTGTGTATAAAAATATAATTCATTTATATACACATATATCTACACACAGAATCACAGAACCGGAAGGGACCTCAAAGAGGTCATCGAATCCAGTCCCCTGCCCTCACAGCAGGACCAAGCACTGTCTAGATCAGTGTTTCTCAACCTTTTTTTGCTCATGGCCCTGTTCTGAGCTTCATTCATCATATGCCTGGCAGTTTAGTTTAGGTGGCCCCCTCAGAAGCTTACTGTGGCTCCCTAATGTTCCGGTTTTTTTCCATGTGGCCCCCTAGAAGTAAGGCATGGCCCACATTGAGAACCACTGGTCTAAATCATCCCTGACAGGTGTCTGTCTAACCTGCTCTTAAATATCTCTAGTGATGGAGATTTTACAACCCCCATAGGCAATTTATTGCCGTGCTTAACCATCCTGATAGTTAGGAAGTTTCTCCTAATGTCCAACCTAAACCACTCTTGCAGCAATTTAAGCCCACTGCTTCTTATCCTATCCTCAGAGGCCAAGGAGAACAATTTTTCTCCCACCTTCTTATAATACCTTTTTAGATACTTGAAAACTGCTATCATATCCCCTCTTAGTCTTCTCTTCTCTAAACTAAACAAGCCCAATTCTTTCAGTCTTCCCTTATAGGTCATATTTTCTAGACCTTTAATCTTTTTTTTTTTTTTGCTCTTCTCTGGACCTTCTCCAATTTCTCCACATCTTTCTTGAAATGTGGTGCCCAGAACTGGACACAATAGTCCAGCTGAGGCCTAATCAGTGCAGACTAGAGCAGAAGAATGACTTCTTGATCACAACACTCCTGTTAATGCATCCCAGAATCATGTTTTGTTTTTTGCAACAGTATCACACTGTTGACTCATGTTTAACTTGTCCCCCATTAGAACCCCTAAATCCCTTTCATCAGTACTCCTTCCTACAGTCGCTTCCCATTCTCTATGTATTAAACTGATTATACCTTCCTAAGTGGAGCACTTTGCATTTGTCCTTAAACTTCATCCTGTTTACCTCAGACCATTTCTCCAGTTTGTTCAGATTATTTTGAATTTTGACCCACAGGAAAGCACTTGCAACCCCTTCCGGCTTGGTATAATCTGCAAACTTAATAATTGTATTTCTATGCCATCATCTAAATCAATCACACACATATCTATGTATAAATAAAGTCCTGTAATTGTAACAGACTTGGTGGTGTAACGTAATACCATTCTGCTTCTTACTTTATATCACTAGATATTACAAGATTAAAAAGCTCATGTCAACTATAAAATGATACAAAGTAAGGATTTTTTCTTACTTGCTAGAACAGGGCTGGATAAAATACGGCCCGGGGGCCAGATCCGCCACCAGATCAGGCCTGCGGACCACCCAGCTGGGATCCTCAGGCACACAGCTGCTGCAGTTTAAAGTGCAGTCCCTATGTTTCTCTGCTATGCAGAGAAGGGAGAAGCTTCCTGTGATCTCCCCACCCCCAGCCCAATCCTCAGCTCTTATTGGCCAGAAACAACTGAATGATAAAAATTTACCTCAGCTAATCTCTCAGCTCCTATTGGCTGGAAACAGCCAGTCAATCTGAGATGAGAGATGTCCTGGGAGCCAGAGAGCAACACAAGACTCTTCCCCCACCAGGAGTTGAGAGCCACTTGGAGGGAATAGCTTGTATTTTCAAGGAGTCTGGGGCTGCAGCAGGCAGGGAGCCCAGCCTGCCTTGGGGTGCTGCAGTAAGAGGCTTAAGTAAGTGCCTCCCAGCCAGAGCCTGCCTCTGGCATCTCTGCCCCTCCCGCACCACAACTCCCTCTTCCAGGTCACCATCCAAACCCTCTGCATCCCCCCAGGCCCCAGGTCACAACTCCCTCCCAGACTCTCTGTACCCCCTCCTACATCCCTCACCAAAGCCAGAATCCTCTCCTGCACCCAAGCACTCTTCCAAACCCTGCACCCCATTCCCCTGCCCAAGGTCACAACTCCTCCTTCCCCAAACACCCTCTGAGACCCCATACCGTCTCCTGCACCCCAGTCCCTTACCCTGTGCACTGTTCTGTACTCAGCCTCCATCCTAGACCCCACATCCCCTCCACAGGAAAGTCCGTCCCTTGACCACCTACCAAAATCTTGGAGTAGGCCCCCCTGCAAACAAAAATTATTGCCCATCCCTGTGCTAGAAGAAACCGATTCACCAGAAAAAAAAGCAAGTCATGATGTGCGCTATCTACCTTAAAAAAAAAATCTCACCTTATGCAACTGATCACTTTTAATCTTTTTAACAGGAAGAGGTTTGCCATCATGAAAGTTGGTAAGAATTAATGCAATTGTTGCAAGTGTTTTACCCTAGATAAAAATACAAAGGACAGAATGTATTATGTTTCCAGAGATAAGTCAAACTGTATTCAAATTTATTAAAGCACTAAGCATAGTTACCAATCCCATATCATCAGCTAGTATTCCTCCAAGAACATTTTCTGGCCGTTCTTTTTCAGCGAAGTTTGTAAGTGTATTATAGTAAAAGTTATTTTTCTCCTCCCAAAACAGTGGCAACTCCTTACTGTTCTCATGTGAAACCATCCAAGCTAAAGCCTGCTTTTGGTGTGGAAGTAATGGTGTTCCAATAGCCTATATGTAAAAAATAAGTAACATTATATATCTTGCACATTAAATAATCCTAATCCCTTTGAAAAGACAGGGGCAGGTATGTTTGATTAATGACTATTAAAATTTTATTTAAATTAACTGGCATCTAGGGCAACTCATTCTAGCATAACACTGCTAAAATTTAAAGATGTGTATACATATTTATATGCAAAGTGTGTATGATAAGCTTTTAAATCAAGTCTTAAATTCTATGTAAGACTTTTTCAATAGAACAAATACCTCTGGTCCTTCCATTTCATGAGTTTTATCATCTTCTTTCAGATCTTCAAATAATTTGTCAAACTCACTTCTAAGCTGCAATATAAATGCACAGAAGTTGCAGTTAAACTCAATTTCTACCTTAAATACATACTTAATGACATAATGGATGCCAATCACATGGCCATGTGGATACCCAGATCTCCATATCTGTAGTTGTGGCTACTGGGGAGGTAGGTAACAAAGAAAGTGTGACAACCTGAGAATCCATAAGTGGGTGAATAGATCATTCAGCTCCTCAACATTTAAGAAAACTGAAAAATGGCTTTAAAAATCATAAAAACTGGCAAAGAGTATCTGGGGTCAGGTCCACACTATAGTTAAAAGGTCGGCTCCGGTATGCAATTCCAGCTACATAAAAAAAAATGTAGCTGGAGTCAACTAGGAATGTAAAAGGTTAACTGGTACGGTCTGGAGCAGCTCCCCACCTGCCCAGGGCAGGGAACTTCTCTAGCCCCGCGCAACCCATCGCCGACTGGAGCAGCCACTGCCCATGGCAGGGCCAAACTGGCCCGGCCCGGCCCCCTCCCACCTCAGCTTACATGCTGTGGCTCCCCAGGAGTAGAGTTGGCCAAGACTATTGGCCCACTCCCAGGAAGCCAGCTGCAGAGCCCACAGCAAAGCCTCCCTGGGAGCCAGCCCCAATTTCAGGGAAGCAACTTCGTTGTGCCAATGAAGCCTCTTCCCCAGGTGCAGGGCAGGCAGGATCTGCCAGTTCTGCTCCATGGAGGCTTCGCTGCAGGTTCTGCAGCATAAAGCCCAGCACAACTTCTAAGATTTTTAATGGTTACAGAGTTATCTTTTTAAATGATTTTTTAGATCCTTAGAGTCAACATACCTTAAGCCAAGCCATTCTCACAGCAGGAGGTAGATGGAAGAAATGCTCCCATCAATTTCCCTTACTCCTTGTGAGGAGTAGGCATCCCAGTGTCAATAGGGACAGCCTTAGCATTCAATTTAGTAGGTCTTTACTACACTCACTAAAATGAACTCCAGAAGATCGACCACTTCAGGAAGTGAAGGCGTGGTCTGCAGCAGATAGAATTGAACCTATCATAATGGTTAAAAAATTTAAAAAAAAAAAAAACAACCCAGATTTCAAGTTGACTGAACTCTTTAAAATACATTTGTTTCAAAGGGGGGAAAAATCCTTCAATGCCAATGAAAAAGGTTTAATTCTCACTTTTATGAGCAGTAAGGTCACTTTTTTAAAGTATGTAATATGAAAATAACAACCAAACCATCACCATACCTGTTCTGTTGTCATCTGAACAGCAGCATGTCCTAAAGCAATATAGCTTGGTCCAGCTCTTCTAGAAACCCAACTTGATCCAAAATCAAATTCTGAACCTGCGTTCCATTTAGAAAAAACATGAAACAAGCAGTTAGAGACTTGGCTTGCTCAAATGACTGATAAGAGGATATGGTGCCTTTTTCTCCCCATTTGTTTTTTTATTCAACTATGTGCTGTAGAAACCAAAAATGTTCATCAAGTAATGTCTATTTTGACACCTGTAAAAGGACTATGACCATGTATTGCTCATCAGTTAGGCATTTTTTATTCTTATGTTTTGCAATGGTTTAGTACTATAGCATAATTATAACAAAAAAAGGAAAGTGATGCATAAGTTCTTGCAAGCATAAAATATCAAAGCGTGACTGTTGATTTCAAGAACCATGGTACAAGGAGTTCCTGACATATTTACACTTGTGTTATAAGGTTTTCTGATTTTTCACTGTGTAAAAAGATGAAACTGTGTTCCAGTCACATTTAAGATCAGGACTGTAATTCAGTTTTTCATCTTTGTTTTAAATATATTAAAGCACTTAAGTATATAGTTACAATTTTATAAACACACAACTCAACTACAGTCAACATTGTATGCTCACCCACCTTGAAATTATATACCAACTTTATGATCTATCTCATTCAATGAAAATGGAAAATAAATGGACCTAATATTATACCAGAAACCAACAGGTTCTCTTTTACACACCTGCAAAGGAAACAATATTTTGGCTCAACACTATGAAAAGAATTAACATGAACACTTGAACTCCTTTCTTTCACAAGGAGGTTAGTGGTACTAACACAGTCTCCATGTCACAGCCAAGCTTAAATAAAAGGATTAAAAAAAAAAGAGTCAAGATTCCAGAGGATACAAAGTATGCTTTACCACAATCTTCAATCACTTTTCATGTCTACAAAGTCAAGGAAAAACCCACACTATTAGACACAACAGCACATACACTATGAACCTAGATCTGGCCAGTTTGGGGCTGATTGTGTTCCCAATGAATCCAGAGAAATATTACCACTGACTTCACTGGAAGATCAAGCCTTTAAAGTTTTTTCTAAACAACTGGGGCTTTGCAAAACTCATCTTTAAAATTTTTAAAAACAGAACAAATATATACTTTACTTTTTAAAGGAGGAGCCAATTTAAATCCATGCATTTTCAGTCTATCTAGAACAGCTTGCTTATTTTCTTCTTTTCCCCAAAAACTCATTTGCACAGGCATAGTAAAGGCATTGTTTGCTCCATAAGGGACAACCCTAAAGAAAGAAAGAAAACAAAAAAGACCATACCTCTCACTTAAAAAGTAAAATATTTTATAGCAGACTAATGGAGAACACACATAATTAATGCTCACACAAAATAAAGAATTTGTCTATACTTATTAGAACACTGAAACAGTAAGTCACAAGTGCCAGCAAGGAATCAGACGTCTAAGAAAACTATCAGACATTCATCTATATTCATGGTGCCCAACACACTAGCCCAGTGGTCCCCAACGCGGTGCCCGCCGGGGCATTTATGTGCGCCCGCCGAGTGACCAGGGCCAGCCCATGCCATTCTTGTGCCCCTGCCCCTAGGCGCATGTGCGGCCCCCACCCCTAGGCGCATGCGCGGTGCATGTGCGGCCCCACCCCCGGGCATTCGGCAGCCCCAAAAGGTTGGGGACCACTGCACTAGCCATTAGCCACACGTCGCTAGTTGGCTTAAACAACTGGCTTTTTGGCCAGTTGAGGGTGGCTACTGCTTCAGAATTGGTTGGACTAGAGATGTAAACAAGTAGTTGAGTTGACTACTCAATTCCCCCCTCGACCCTCACAAGTGCCTCTGTATCAGCGGGGACAAGCAGGAGTCATTGCTGAGGGGAGCCGGCTTAAAAGCTAATTCTCCCCAGTACTGACTTTGCGGTGCCACCTCCCTCCCCACCGGAGGGGGAGGGGGAGTAGCCTCTACCGGCTGCAGGCCCTGGCTCACATCCCGCAGAGCAGCACCTGTCCGTGGGGGGTCTCAGGGCAGGCAGTTGCTTCAGCTGGGCTGGAACAACCCTTGTCTGTGGCAGAGGGGGCTGCTCCAGCCCAGCCAGGCTGAAGCAGTGCCAATGAGCACTCCCCTGTTTAATCAGTTAAACTTAACATTTAAACAGGATTTTACATATCTAACATATATACAAACATACACACACACTAGCATATCAAAAGTAGGGAGTTACTTATCAAGTGTAGGACCAGCTGTTAATGAGGCCAATTCACTCAGGTGGATGTGGCACCTGCCCAGCAGTTGATGGGGAGGTGTGAAATTGCCTTTGTAGTGAGATAACCATTCTAAGTCCTTATTCAGTACTAATTTGATTGTGTTAAAACTGCAAATGAATTGCAGCTCTACAACATACAAAAAAAACCAGTGAGAGAACACTTTAACTTCCAAGACACACAGTTACTGACTTGTGAGTTGCCATTCTCAGCCAAAAAAGCTTCTAAAACAAACTGCAGTGGAAAACTGCAGCCCAGAATTCATATACAAATTTGGCACCTTCAAAAGAGGTTTAAATAGAAACATGGAATGCTCTCTCATTACAATAGGTAATTTCCCTTTCAAGTACTCTCCCCTTCTCATCATTTGTTGGAGGTAAGCCACATACACTCTGATTTGATTTGCACTGATATCACATTTTTATTAATTCATTTCTCACTGATGCCTCATTTGTCATTTACAGAGGAAAATGAACTGTAATCTGGGTGGTTCAGTAAAGGAGCCTACAACCTGCAGTGATAACATTATAATCATGTTATGCCAGCCATAAGTGGCCATGTCTACACTGGTGCTTTATAGTCCTATAACTTGTTGCGATTGGGAGGTGGGGGTGTTTTTCCAGTAAAATGCCAGTGTATTAGCTACTCCCTTCATTTAGGTGGTTTACATAGACCTCTCTCTCAGTGCTGATGACATGGGCATATTTTAAAACAGTAGCACTTTAATGTTTTAAGTGTAGACTTAGCCAGTGTTACTGCTAGTAATCTCATCCCACTTACCCTTCAACTATTGCTAGTTTATTGTCCATGATGTATGCCAAGGGTGCTGCAAGTTCTTTTTTGATGTGGCCTACCTGGTTTCCATTCACATTATTTACTTTTACTGCATTTTTATCATAGAGGTTATTGGGCTCTCTCTGAAGTGCAACCATTTCATTATTGTTAACCTGCAAAAAAAAAAAAAAATTATTTACAGAAACACCTAAGGGTATAAGCATTTCTGAAGCTAAATTTAAATATCTTAGAATAGTACACTGTGTTTACCTCTCTTACGGTATGTCTACACTACCACCCTAGTTCGAACTAGGGTGGTTAATGTAGTCATATGAACTTGCAAATGAAGCCCGGGATTTGAATTTCCTGGGCTTCATTTGCATGTTGCCGGGCGCCGCCATTTTTAAATGTCCACTAGTGCGGACTCCGTGCCCGTGGCTACACGCGGCACGAACTAGATAGTTCAGAATAGGAAGCCTAATCTGAACTATCTGTATCCACGAGGCGTACAGATAGTTCGGAATAGGAAGCCTAATCTGAACTATCTAGTTCGTGCTGCTTGTAGCTGCGGGCACGGAGTCCGCACTAGCGGACATTTAAAAATGGCAGCGCCCGGCAACATGCAAATGAAGCCCTGGAAATTCAAATCCCGGGCTTCATTTGCAAGTTCATATGACTACATTAACCACCCTAGTTCGAACTAGGGTGGTAGTGTAGACATACCCATACTTCTTTATTCAAAATACTAAAGATTTTAGACGTTGGATTTGGAAGTCCACCCCTCACCAGCAAGTACAAGCCCTTTAAACAGAAGCAACTGAAAAGAGGTCACAGCTCTGCACCACTGGCCTGCTGCCTAGGAGCTGCTCAGAGGTACCAGCCCTTTCAACTGTTTCTATTCAAAGGGCTTGTGCCTGCAGGGCAGCTGCCAGACTATAGGATAGCAGTGAAGGCCAGTAGCTGCAAGCCCTGTTACATGAAATCTAAGCCTCCATCCCAGACAACTCTGGGAGGAGCCTAGCTCCCAGGACCCTCCCCTCTGCTCCAGGTCCCTTACATTGGCCAGGAGTCAGGAGGCAGGGATCCCAAGTCAAGCAAAGCTCCTGGTAGAGTAGCTCTCAACCCCGTCTCTTCTGCCCGAGGCCCACAGCCACTTCCAAAATTTGTGACGTGGCCCCCCTTCAAAAATTATTGCCCACTCCTGACCAACACTGTCAAAACCACACCCACAGTAAGGCCAGGAAAGAGCTAGCCACAAGCATGTTTGCACAGTTCTACATGAGTGTACAATTGGAAAGGCAAGGTGAGGAAGACACTTTGAGAAGGGAAAACACCTTCCCTTCCACTACTGTCAACTTCCTGGGGGCTTCCCTCATCTCTCTACCAGCCAACTTAAGATATCTTTTAGATCTGTTATTTACTCTGAACAGATCTTGAAAGTTAAGTTGGGATTTTAGACTAGTGAATTCTCTTGGAACTCTGTAGAATCTTAAAAACACTGACACTAACGAATTAATGAGAAAACCCTAGAACTGGTCAGAAAACTCTGGAAAGCTGTGGAATTTTAACAACAAAAAGGGAAAATGTTCCATTTTGCCCCCATTTTCCAACTACCTCTACTTAGTCAAATTATTCATACTGCACTTACAATCCCTGTGTAATAACGTAATCCAACCACATTTCCTCTCAAGGTTCCAAATAAAACAGCTGAATCTGTATCTTCATCTGTCCCAGGAATGTCATCTGTACATAGAAAGTCTTCTAATCCAAACTGAGAATAAAAATCACGAGAAGTATAATAGGAATTGTTTCTCTCTCTTCCATGATGGGCAGATTGTAGGTATTTCCAGGCAGAATCTCTGCAGAAAGACAAAGTAGAAGTTATTTGATGATATTTTTTAAAAAGTAGTCAGAATGTTTCAGTTACTGTCGATCCCTTTTTGTGTCTATTTAATTTTTCCTTTCATAGTGTGGATAGAAAGAGAGTCTCACGTCTTTATGTGACCATTCCACTTTGCCTGGCAACTTTCACATAAGTGAAAGTGCAAAGAAAAAAAAACTGTTTCCATGACATTATAATTAATCTCACACAAATAGCACTCTGTCAAATTCTTTTTGCTGTTTAACTTACTAGAATATAATCTTTAACCACTCAGAGTAATAGTCCACCCTATTGAGGAGGCTGTTTGGCTGCTTTTAGGGGAATATCGAGCAACAAGAACAGAAGACTCAAAGGATAGAAGTGGGTTTTATTGCTACTAGTTCAGAATTTTTCTGCTGCGTGGGGGATCAAATGAGCAAGGAACAGGAGAGAGTTGATCAGGGATCTTCATGCTCATAGATTTATAATTTTCTGCTAAAAAGACTTTGCGGTGGCGAAAATGCTTTTACTTCTTTCTCCAGAGAGAACCAGAAAAAGGGCAACACCATGTTTTTTAATAGAGTACACAACACAACAATAAATGCTCAGTGCTCTAAAACAGTGGTGCTCTACCTATTTTAAATTGCAACCCCTCAAGACTGGGAACATTTTTCTGTTGAGAAGAAAAAAAAAAAAAAAAAAAAAGCTGCGACCGTGCCCACGGGTTGCGCACCGCTGCTCTAAAAGTCTGTTAATGGTTGCATAGCACATTATAACTTTGCACTGCAAGACTCTCCTGCATAGTTGTATTATTTACTTAAACTACTGTCAGTATGTGAAACTAGGTTCCAAATGCTGAATATTTGGAGTTTTGTCTGAATCAACTTTGGTTTCTTTGGAAAACAGCGTCACTCTAAAATTAGAGTAATTCATGGCTGAGCAAAAACACAGAACCAGACCCAAAAATTTAGCCAGGGTTTACCACAAAGACATCTAAGCTTTGCCCACCAAAGGGCTTTACTAGCATCTCTTCCTGGGAGAATTCTACGCCAAAAAATTTAAAAATTCTACACACCATATTTTTTAAATACTTCATATTTTATTTTTTAGAATAATGCATAGGAACATAAGAATAGCCATACTGAGTCAGACCAAAGGTCCATTCAGCCCAGTATCCTGTCTGCCAATGGAGGCCAATGCCAGGTGCCCCAGAGAGAGTGAACGGAACAGGTAATCGATCTCTCTCCTGCCATCCATCTTCACCCTCTTGCAAACAGAGGCTAGGGACACCATTCCTTACCCATCCTGGCTAATAGCCAAGGCTTGAGAAACAGCGGCGAAAGCCGCTCACCAACACCGCACATGCACAAGAGCTGCATTGTGCATACACGTGCCACCGGTAAACAGGGCTGAAATCTACTTGCCATAGGCAAGTAGATTCTGTAGTTTGTCAAGCCCTGCTAATAGCCATAGACTTAACTTCCATGAATTTATCTAGTTCTTTCTTGAACCCAGTTAAAGTCCTCTTTTAAACCCTGTTATAGTCCTAGCCTTCACAATGTCCTCAGACAAGGAGTTCCACAGGTTGACTGTGCGCTGTGTAAAGAAGAACTTCCTTTTTTTTGTTTTAAACCTGCTGCCCATTAATTTCATTTTGTGGCCCCTAGTTCTTATATTAAGGGAACAAGTAAATAACTTTTTCTTATTCACTTTCTCCATACCACTCATGATTTTATATACCTCTATCATATCCCCCCCTTAGTCTCCTCTTTTCCAAGCTGAAGAGTCTTAGTCTCTTTAATCTCTCCTCATATGGGACCCGTTCCAAACCCCTAATCATTTTAGTTGCCCTTCTCTGAACCTTTTCTAATTCCAGTATATCTTTTTGGAGATGAGGAGACCACACCTGTACTTAGTATTCAAGATGTGGGCGTACCATGGATTTATAGAAGGGCAATAAGATATTCTTCATCTTATTCTTTATCCCTATTTTAATGATTCCTAACATCCTGTTTGCTTTTTTGACTGCCGCTGCACACTGCATGGATGTCTTCAGAGAACTATCCACAATGACGCCAAGATCTCTTTCAGTATAATCATGCTTGTTTCAATTATTTTGGTTAATTATATTTAAAACTACAGTACAATGGATGAAAAACAGAACACCGAAGGAACTCCTCAAATCCCCTTTAATAGTAACGTAGCTAGTACTGACACTTTATTGATCAACAAATATATACAGCCATTTGCTCAGTGTTACACCATAGGCAACTGAAGAGCAAGTGAGGGCTGGGCACTCTTACTTACAATTTGAATTGACTACTGGCCATTTCCAGAAAGGTCAGTAGCAAACAGTTCATAGACCACACTCTAATAGGAAATTTTCAGTCCACAAATTTAGACCAGCTCTAATCACTGAAGTACGAGAAGCTTTTATAAGGCCATACTGACACCACTCTGGCAATGTAAAGGAGCCTTAACATTTTTTACACCTTGTATATACTTCTGGGGAAATTCACTAAGAATTAGGGATGTAAGCAAACAGTCAACTAACTGATAAGCCTAGGCTTATCGGTTAAGCTAGTCAACTACTCGACAACTCACATTTGTCCGTCCGTCCCCACTGCCTCTTTATAAGAGGCAGCAAGGGGTGGAGGAAGCAGGAGCCATTACAAAAGCCAGGTCATCACAGCACCATCTCCGTGGTGCCACCTGTACTCCCTCCTGTGCTGCTGCCTCTATCAACTGGGCATGTACAGGGGCTGCTCTGGCCAGGAACCTACCCCCTGCTGTGGCTCTGCATTTTAAATGTAGTAAGAGCTGAGCTGCCTGCATGCCTGGCCTTTAGTACATTTCAACTTCAGAGCTGCAGCAGGGGGTAGGTCCCAGTCCTGGACATGGAGCAAGCCACAACTGAGCGGGGCTGCCTTCCCTTATCAACTAATTGAGTGGTCGATAGTATTTTTATTGACTACTCGATTAGCCAATTAACCGCATCTTAACATCACTAAGAACAATAGGAACAATTCACTAAGAAGGCAGGCTGCTACATTTTGCTCTGCCTGAGGAGCCTGCCCCATACCTACCTCCTCAGAAATATCCCTTATAGCTCACAACCCTGCCTTAATTTGGACATGTTGTGGTAACAAAGAATTAACTAATGTAACATGTCTAACTGACGTGAGATACCAACATTTAGAGAGCACTAAAGCCCAACTAAGGAGATACAACAGAGGTCACAGGATTAGTAAGGGAGTATGAAAAAGACAGTCATCTCACAAAAAGTGAGAACTGGCCGTTCTCTCCCCTTCAACACTAACTGATAACTGTTTCCATAACAATTGGTTGGACCTCTATAGACTGGCAACATATGTGGTCTGACATCCCTGTGGATGTTCCCAGGTTGGAGCACTCATAAGGAAAAGCCAGGGCCCATCCTCAGCAACTCCTCCCCTGTCCTCCCAGAGCACCACAAATAGCTCATTTGCAGGGCTCAATCTCAGGGACAAAGGGGGAGAAGCAGGAACTGGGTGATGCTCAATGGAAGAGGCAGGAGTGCCACCCTATGGGCCTCTGCAGCCACCTGGCCTTTTTCCCCCAAGCGCTCCCTCCATTTGCTTGGTCAATGCCAGTCCATCTGCTGCCATTGGAGTGGAACCCCACAGCAAGCAGCAGCAGAGGAGCCAAAATTGACCTCCTCTGGTCTGGCAGATGCCTTGGTTTGTGATCAGTCAGGTCCTTAAAGTAACACATCAAGAAAGTACAAACCCACCGAAGCCTCCCAGTCCAGAGAGCCAAAAGTCTAATCCACTGCTGGTTTCCAGCCTGCAGATGTGAAATTGCGGTAAGCCAGTTAAATAAAATGCTTCACTGATTAAGTGTAATGCTGCAGGGCACACACAAGATGCAGAGGGGCTGGGGCTGCAGCTAGCCTGGGTCCTTTCTGCCCCCGGCAGCTAGCGTGGGTCCTGTTTGCCCCTTCTTAGGGCCAGGGCTGCCAGGATCCTGCCTGTCTCTGTCTGGTGGGGCTGAGACAGGGCTGCCACAGCTGTTGCCCTGCCCTGATTCCCACACCCAACCAGTTTAACCAGTTAACTACCCGGTAAACCTAATGCTTACCTGGTAACCATTTACACTCCTGGCACAGCTCCACTATGCACCCCCCCCACACACACACCCCCCCCTCATGGCACCCAGTCCCACTCCCTCAG